ACCCATGAGCCTTTCGTCATATTTTCTCTCCTCTGTCCAGTTAAGGATGTGGAGTGGTACGGCAGCTTGGTGGGCTTGGTGGCCAGCCAAGGTCAACTCATCACACTTTCATATTCCTTTTCAGATTCCCCTAAAATTATGGACCAGAAGTCTGTACAGACCTTCATAGTTCAGCGTCTTCATTTGGTTCTCTAGTTTTTCTTTTGTTTTTAAGAGAGCTTTAAGTGCTTCTTGGTCCTTCTTGTAGCTTCCATCCATCTTTTTAACTTCAGCTTGTTTTGATTTTAATTCTTGTTGTGCATAATTCAACTTCATTTGAGCCTGTAGGGAGTAAAATAATATGGAACCAGATGATCTTCAAAGAGAATCTTGCAGGTGCAGATTTAGAACACTTGCACTAAGAAGGTGCTCATATAATTTGTCAGTTTCTGCCGGTTGCGGAAATGCCAAGAAGCAGCCTTGGCTTTTGAAAGTAAGGTCACAAGTGACTTGGAAATAAAAACATAAATAATGTATTTTGATACAGTATCTCACAGTTGCACATGAACAAAGTCCTAGAAGAAACAATGTAAAATAACACAGGACACAGCTGGCTTTGTTATTTTCCCCAAAGGAGTTTTTCCTTAAGTGAAACAAGCAAGGGGCACTTTTAACTTTGAAAGTTTAAATTCCATGGTGAGAGCTACCCCAGCAGAGATTTCCTATCTTAAGACAAAAGAATTGGTGTCTGTTTCAGTCATGTGACTAACACACAATTTAACTACGGAAAACCAGTTTCTTCTGAACTCTCCATTCAGTGTCTCAGGCATCGTTATTTTGATTTCAGTAAGTTTTACTATAGAAATCTCTATAGTGTGAATGTATATCATGGACAGCAGTCTTAATTTCTTCCTATCCAATACCATCAGTCATTTGAGTACTGTGAGTCCTACTTTATGTCTCAAATACAAGTTTCTATAATTCCTCACATCAATGTTATAGCTTTTCCCTATTTGTCTATATCTATGCAAGTATATTTTTATTTTTTTAATTACCTGTTTCATCAAAAAGTCACCTTAATGCATATGCCAACTTGTAAAATACCTTGTATAGGTACTCTGCAAATCTTTTCACTGATCTTTCAAGGGTGTGTCATTTGGTTTTCAGACAATTTTCAAAAGAAGCAGGAAGGCTGATCTGAGGCAGGCGGAGCTTTTATCCTTACCTGTTTAGCCTCTGTGATTGCTTTGCTGATTTCATTTTTGCAGATCATCATCTGCCCAGCAAGCGTAGCTTCTTCCCCATCATCATTGCTGGACAAGCCAGCAGACACAGCATTAAAATGCTGTTGTGCTGCAGCTAAAGCATCTGTATCTTGTTCACTTGTTTCCTGTAAAGCATTTAGTTCTTCCTCTACCTTCTTTATTTCTTTCTCCTTTGATGCTAATGCTTTAGAATCCTTCACCAAAACAAAGAACAAAAACAAAAAAAGGAAGAGAGAACCTGAGTATCAGTAACTTCAAATTCATGTTGCTTAGATGAGGAGCTATAAGTAGTTTCATCAGTTAACATTTCTAAGACCCTTTGTCAGATTTTGTGATCTTACAATTTTGTCTTCGCATGTTTTCAAGTGTGTACTTGCCCCATGAGTGCACCGGGGGTCTACAGAAAGATGAAATATAGGAAAAGATGACAACTGCCCAGAGCTAGGAAAAATATTTTTTTCTTCTCAATATCTAAAAAGTAAACTATTCTCCAGTGCTCCACTTGCATAAAAAAAAATTAAAAATCAACTATCAGAAATATGCAGTCAAAATTTCTCCTTTAATTTTAAGAATACCACATGTCCAGAGAGCATACTTGTGAAGCTGTAGGGATCTCTCCTGAGCATAATGTAAGGTTGACAACCATAAAGACTAGCACTTTCTTTGTATATGCATCATATTTGCTTCTAATAGGAACCTACTACCTATGCCACACAAATCAAACAATGCCCTTACCATTTGTTTCTGCTTTCCTGATGCAATTCTTGCCAATCATAGGATTTTTCTTACCTTCTTACCTCATCTTTCTTGAGCTGTCCCCCTCAATCTGAATTAATTTATTGTTTAAAGAAAGTTATATACAAAGGTCTTACCTCCTGCTTACTTTTTACCAGTTCTTTGTACTTTTTCTGTTCACTTTTTAAGTTTTGCTTCTTGAGAGCAAGGGCACTTTGTGCTCTAGTATTAACTCTTTGAATTTCTGAAAGTGCACATTCCAGTGAGTGTAGTGCACCACTAACTTCCTACAACCAGAAATAAAGGAAATTTAGTTTAGTCTAAGAAATTGATACAGTATTTGTAGTATTTCATCTTCTGTTCACACATCTATGTAGAAGAAGAGAGAAAAGTCTGATCAAGTAGGCAGTTAGATTACAATGCAACCAAGTCAGAACATCTCTTCCCTCTGAAACCCAAACTAACTTGAAGACATTACTGAAGTCCCACATCATCCCATATCATGGGACACTGTCCTTGTAAAAAAGCTGCATTTAGGCATCCAAAGACCCTGTGGGACATCTTGCATCTAACCAAATTTACTGCCCCCAAAACTGAGGTCAGTACTAATTTTTGTTGAACAAAAGTTTCTTACTTGAAGTGTATTGCTTCTGAGACATCAACAAAAAGGGAGAAAAAAAAAAATATCTGGCAAAATTTACCACTGAACACACAGAGGGCAAACAGTTTCTATTCTTCAGTTATTATTCATTTACAGAGATTGGAAATAAAGCATTTCAGACAAATGAAAGCTTCAAATGGATGTCTTTTAGACAATAGCTAAGAATGACAATGAGCAGTGCATAATCTAAACAACCCACCTGAAAATAAAAATCCAAGGGTATAGAATCTGTAAAAATAATTCCCTTCTCACATAACATCTTGTATTCAGATGAGCATGAGACTGTTCTCACTTACCTTACTCCTTTCCTTTTCCATCTCCACTAATTCTTCATTAAGTTGTCTCATCTTCTTTTCACTTTCAGCTATTGATTCCTGAAGCTTCTCTACATCAGCCTTCATTTCCTTTAATAATTCAGCAGATGATGCCTTTGTCTCTTCAGCCAGAACAAACTGATAAGCTATAGAGAGGCGGCTTACATGTTCTATAGTTTGTACTACTTTTTGGTATTCTAGATAGGATGATCGTTCCTGAAAAGAGACACCAATAAAAAAAAACACTTTAAGATTTGATGGAAAAAATCTTCCTTCTCCCTACGTTCCCCTCTAGAATTTCCTAGAAGTCCTGAATGTCACATTTTCTGTATTCGGACAGAAAAGATTCTCCAAAGCTTCAAACCGTACTATCGTTTTAGCCACCACATAATGGTTCAGGGTAGCTGTAAGTCATTTTCCAGTACTTTAAGGGCCCTACCACTCTTCTAATTTTTCCGTACCTCTCTCAGTTTCTGTAAAGTTGGAGTGATCTCCTCATTTAAGACCTGAAATAAAAAACAGAACATTTATATTCAGGTTTTTAAAACTCTCATATGTCTAACCATGAATAACTAGTTCCTGAAGCAGAAATGAAAAATTCTACAAGTTAAAAACCACACTACACTAATTATTCAGTCATCTTTAACAAATATGAAAGACCGTAGACTTTCCAACATGTAGTACCATTTGAATGTCTCTCAGTTTGACTTCCTTCTTCTCTATGGTTTTCTGGACAGCTATTTTCTTGCATTCATACATCCTAGTACCAGTTGCTTCTTCAATCATAGCTAAAATCTAAAATAAAAGCAATGTGACAAAAAAAAAAGATGTTTCTTCTTATGTTAGATAGGTTCAACTCAGAACTAAGTTAATCATCTCATCTCCCCCAGTACTTTTTGTGCATATGTGTGTGTCCCATATTGATTCTAGTCATTGAAAACAAATCAGTAAAACTTCAGACAAAAAACTGCCACAACTTTCCTACCTCTGCTGGCTTCATATTTAGAACTTTGGTAATTCGTCCCTGGTGACAGAAAGATAAAACAAGAATGGTAGTTGTGTACCATGCAATAGTAAAAAAACCCAAACCCAAAGAATCCCACTCATTTTTATATGTTACAGTATAAGCTCAAACATGATTTTTTTTTTCTTTCACTACAAGAATAATGCAGTTTACTCTATTGTTTTGTTCTTGAAAGTTCAAACAAGTCACTTCAGGCAGCAAACTTGCAATAGCCTTTATATATTATTTTAGGCTCATCCTACACATTCCTGACTACATCTTAAAGGCGTAATGTGCATATTTTGTTCTAGAGTCTTACTAAGTTGCCGACATTGAGTAAGATCTTAATCTTAAACTAGCTTTTTGGAGATTTAGCTCATATGTAACTAGGGGGAAGCAGAATAGGTGCAAAACTACCATCCCCTTCTCCACTGCAAGTTGGGACAGTTCCATTTGAAACAGTATTTTTTGCTCTTTTTTTATTATTCCTTGCTAATATTTCAGGGATTTATCTAGTCCCTGTGTTGATGTTTATAAGGGTCAGTTCTTCCTTTGTTTGTTGTGACTTAAGAAAGCAGGTATACCAACTTCATTAAAAATATTGTCTAACATGGAACACACATAATAGGAAAGAAAATCTCTGTCTTTTTAGCATAACAAAAAAAACCCACCAATTTGTTCAATACACAAGGAATATGTTTTAGGAAAAGCTTGCTACATGAGGTTGTGTGCTGCAAGACATGTGTTTTAGGGCCAAACTATGCTGAATTGGAAATCTTAACTACTTAACAGACATTTGACTTTTACTTGATAAGAAGTTGCTTTTCTCTGATTAGGAAATTAAGTGTTCTTCCACTATCTATCCTGCCTCAAATTTAGTGCAACTTCTATTCTTTTTCAATTTTATAAAGATGCATACAATACCTGCATAATAAGGAAGTGAGGGTTATTGACATTGAGTCCAACTGAACAGAAAAGATCCTGCACACGAGTTTGGGTAGCACTCACACCATTGATAAGATATTTATTTCTACCTCCGATGACAACCTGGAGAACGAAAAGATGGAAAACAGTAAGTGATTTAAAAATTACTTGACATTATCAGAATATAAACTGTAATAAAGAATAAAAAATCTGAGCAAATACCATATATTACATCTTGCATACACATACACGTCTACTATACAGAATATCCAAAACAGATTTTTTTTGGACTGAAGAGAGATTTAAAATATCTAAGTAAAATGTAAGAAAGATCAGTCATTGAGGGCAATGTTGACAAGAAAATTTCCAAACTTGACAAGTGTTTGGTTTTTTTGGGGTTTTTTTGGTTTGTTTTTTTTTT